AATACTTGAGCCAATCCCGCAGTTCATTACAATTAGCCTCCAACTGAAATTATGAGGCTGAACACAATTTCAAAACCCATTTCAACGCTCCGTCTGTGAAATGAAGATAGCTTTGGATATAATCTGTTGAATGAACGCCAACTTCGTACGTCTGAATCAACAGATCTAAGGATTAGAAGAGTACGCACTCAAAACATAATACGAAGACAGAGTATCTCAAGAATTGAGCCAAAGCTATATGTATAGTTATATTTATTGATGGGCATGAGGTATCATGTATTCTCAAATTGTATTCAAAGATTCTGAAATTATTAGTTATTATATATATATTATAATTAAAAGTTACATTTGTAAAGGTAAAAGGTACAAGTTACAAACAAAGCAAATATATGTATTTTGAAAATCTACAAAAACGTATATAATTATAATGTGGAGAATGTTAATAACTTTAAATAAAGTTAATGTAGTTATTGACGTTTATCTAAATTTAACAATACAAAGTAGCGATCGGCATTCGGCATTCGGTTAAAAGTCCTTCTACGCCCAAGTTATTTAATTAATTTAAGGCACTTTAAAAGTCAAAATTACATGTTCATAATGCAATATATTGGAGAAGAATGGGCAAGAAACTCCGTATTTTTAAAATAGTTTTTACAATTTTTGTTTACATTAATTATAATGTAAGTATCATATTATATAATATATATATGATACTTATATAATTATCTGTACCACGTGCAGGTTATATTATTGCTTTCCCATAATCCCATAAATATTTTAACGATAAATTAAGCAGCTCACTCACCTAACCTAAAAAATAACAACATGTCATATCAACAATATTCAACACCCCAATGGCAGGCCTTTTTTTCTTTTTGTATCGGCAGGTAATCCTTCTGTTTCCTGATTTTTGGATTAGATAAGACATACTGTTATCTCATGAAGGCGTTCTTTTTAAACAAAAAATAAAAAAAAAGTGCTCAATGGGATTCGAACTCATGAGTGTAAGAATCCCACGCCCAACCTATTTTTTAATTGTTGGAACATCAATTTACAGACCCCCGCGCCGGGACAGTTCTTAAAGTGACGCATCTGCTCGCTATAGACGGGATGCAGGGTAACAGTTTCCCTTAAAGGGGGCGGCCCTGTAACAGCCCTCTTCAAACTTAGGCTAACACTACTCCATAGATATTGATGGAATGTTAGATAATTCAATCTTAATAAATATATCACACATAAACAAATACACTTCATCAATACAGGCTCATGAAGTAACATAAAAAATCAATGGGAACGGAGACACGAAATGTCATTTTCAATGTCCATAAAAACGATCGTAAAAGTCACAAATCACGCATAAACAATAAAACTTTTAAAAAGCAAACATAAAATGTAATCAAATTTCTATCGCAGCAATCCTTTGGGAAATCAGCAGTGGAACGTGTCACACCTGATTTCACGTGTCGTCTGTAAATATATTTATTTGGATACCCTTAATGCCAATTACTTTTAGGATTCTGCATCTGCATATACCTTGTATAGTACCAATACCACGATGGCTGAGTCAAACATTTTGTTTCGTTGAATGAATTGAATCGCACCTGTGACTTGTACTTGGTGAGAAAGTATGTGAACAGCTCCTCCAACCCAATGGGGAGATTCTCGATCAAGTAACCCTAATGGCCGGCCCCAGTGGCTAATGTCGAGAAGTTGTATAAATCCTTAGAATTACTTCTTTAGCGCGTTTCAGCGTATGACGTCATCGTAATGATGGTAGTTGTCGCTACATACTAACATTAACTACCTGCTTAGAGGCCATAATGGCTTGATTATTTGAAATAAAAAATATTGAAATACACTTCAAAATTGTATAGTTATAATATTGAAAAAGCAACAGTGCTAACATTCGATGCACGATAAACTATGTTTAACTGTTCATACATATTATACAAACATATTGTGTGATATTGCAGAACCTAATTCCATTCTCAATGCGGTTACCTAATTGTCTATTACTGAGCATAATATATTATTCACATACTACATTATAATATTAATATATAACATTATCTAATGTTATATATGGCTATTAGTTGACTCGGTCAATATCACCTTCAATTCATGAAATCAATTATTAGTGGTTATCATATACGTTATAACCAAAAAATATAAATCGAAATAGACCATATTAGTTTAAAAAGGTTTTTTGGGGTTATGTATAAATGTTTAAATTATTTCACAATTTGATGTTATATGACTTATTATAGAAACTTTTATCGTATGTAGTAATATTCGTAAAATAATTTGTGTTTTCTTTATCTTCAGTTTGCAATAGCTTCGTAATTTGTACTTACAAAAATCTTATTTTATTTTTTACTAGCTGCCCCCGCGAACTACGTTTCGTTTTAATATGATATTATACTTAGTTTTTTAAGTAGCTACATACCAAAATATGGATCATTTTGCTATGCTACTCGATAGAGCGTGTTCGCTTTTCCGGTATAAAAATATTTTTTCAATTTTTCTCTCCTTAAAAACCTTCCTCAGAGTTCAAAGAATTAATAAATATAAAAAATACTTGAATTGGTCCTGCCATCTTTAAGTTTTGCGCTTAGCAATTTTTTATTTGTATATACGAATAGACTCAAGTACACTCAACAGTCAAGACAAATGCATTGAGGTCGTCGTACCGATGTAAGAAATTACTCGTCAAGATAAGACATGAACACGAGTAGCTATACGGAACTGGCCATTTGGTTGCCACGACATATACATATGGCAGACATAATACCTGCAGGTTTACCCCGTAAATTCAACAGTAAAATTGATTCGGTTTTATAATCGTGTTTCATAACATGCTGCTTATATAGGGTGTCTCAGTAAGAGTGCACTTTTTAAAATTGCAATATTTTTATTTTCCTGCAAGTGGCAACTCTGAAATTTGACAGCTGTCATCTCTGTTTATTCCGATTATTAAAAATGGAGCGCTTTTTGAAAGAATAACTCGTTATAATTGTGAAAACTTATTACAAAAGTAACGCTGAAAACGCTCGCAAACTTCACCAAATTTTCAGCCGAGAAAGTGCACCTAATGTGTCCAACCATTCGAAGAGCGGTCTAACCATTCGAAGAGCGGTCAAAAAATTTGAAGAAACTGGGTCAGTTATGGATAATAAGAATCCTTTGCATCAACGTACCGGTCGGTGCCTTGAAAACATTGCTTCTGTAAACGAGAGTGTCGCCGAATACCCGAAAACATCAATTCGACGTAGCAAATTTTGCCTAAAGACCGGTTTACCTTCATGCGTACAAGATTCAGTTAACTCAGGAGCTCAAACCAGCAGACCAAGGAAGGCACCGGCAATTTGCTCAATGAGTAATGGAGCAAAGGGAAGTCGATGCCAATTTAAGAAGAAATGAAAGAAGAAATCATTTTCTCCGATGAACTGAACACATTATCTCACTAAATTTTAATGTCAACTAGCCACCAAGATCGTGCGATTTAACGCCGTGCGATTTTTTCTTTGGGGTTTTGTGAAATCTCGAGTTATATGCGAATAAACCCGAAACCATTCCTGAGCTCAAATCGGAAATCCAACGCGTCGTCGGTGAGATACAGCAACATCTCTATGCAAAAGTCATGGAAAATTTAAAGAAAAGTGTAATGGCCTGTCATCGGAGCCGTGGAGGTCATATGCCGAATATTTTATTCCATACTTAATCGGAACGTGTCTTCTTTACAATACAATAAAAATATCAGAACTCTGTCATAAAATACTTGTCTTTATTTAAAAATGAAAAAGTGCACTCTTACTGAGACACCCTATACAATTATATAATTTAAAGAAAAAACTTTTTAACCGGATTAAAGTTATGTATTATTATAAATTTACAATTATTTAACATAATTTTAAATTTATCCGACGTTTCGCGTGCTTTACAGCGTGCGTGGTCACGGTGACTGAAGACAAAAGGTGTTGGATGTTAAAAAGTATCACAGCTGTAGAGAAAGTTGCATTATCTGTATTTATTTCCCCGGAGTTGGTATCGACTAAAAGATGGAGGGTTTTGGCAAAAATGGCTCACGGTGTCCTCTATTTTCGCGGATTGTTTTTCTTGAGATTTTAATTTGGATATTATTGGATCCCAGGTGTTTGACAATTTTAGGCCGTCTTCTCTATTGAAATTGGGGTGTTTTTTGATTTCAATGGCTTCGCGTACCAATCTTAGGAAGAATCTATATAATTTATAATAATACATAACTTTAATCCGGTTAAAAAGTTTTTTCTTTAAATGTGTACAGATTATGTCAATCAAAGACAATACTATAATTATATAATTATTATAATCATTGGTATAGGCAACAGGCGAGCCGAAAGCACATGCGAGAGTAGTTAAGTGGTAAAATTAGAGAGTAGCCCTGCTACTGTTATTTTGTCTGCTAATTCTATGCGTTCATTCCTTTATTATTTATTATGTTTTGTTTCAATATCTCAAGTGAAGCATGGCTTAATAGCCTTATAAAGAGCTGCGGAGAGTTTCATGCCAGTTTTTCTCGCCCACTCTACGCTTTGAATTGGGAAATCGTAATAAACGTAAATTTAGACCTTTCTTTTATTTTGGTCTTTCTATTTTATATTTCGCAAACTGAAAGCCCTAATACCGACAACTTGATAGGAATGTTTTGAATTATATCAGGTTTAAAAAAAATCTCAATCTGTCTATTGTCGCTATATATAAGTTTAAATGTCACAAAATATGTAAACAATAGAATCAATTGCCATCGCACTTTTTAAAGAATGTTTAAAACATTAATCACTATTTTATGACTAAGTGATATTCAAAATAAAATTTCTTATCAGCGGCCCTGATATATGATAACTCTATCATACCTTATCGTAGACATTTCAAAACTCAGAGATAAATCGATAATACTGAAGTTCGATTTAATTTCAACAGAATTGTTCAGTTGGATCGACGTCATCTTTGTACTACTAAACATGGCAACTCATTATTATTGGGAGAGAACAAAGGCATGGATGCTGGATAATAAGATAATCGTACTTCTCTCGCTCCTGTCATTTTGTCTGTTTGTGTCAACGTTGGCGATGGCTGGTCAAAGAAATCGGCTCAATACCGAATTAAATGATTTGAAGAACAGTCTTATCTCAACCACACCACCACCACCACCTAAAAACGAGACAGATACAGAAAACGGCGATGGTGCTGGTAATGGAGGCGGTGATGGAGGCGGTAATGGAGGCGGTAATGGAGGTGGTGATGGGGATGGTGGTAACAATGGAGGCGGTGATGGAGGTGGTAATGGAGGCGGTGATGGAGATGGTGGTAACAATGGAGGCGGTAATGGAGGTGGTGATGGGGATGGTGGTAACAATGGAGGCGGTGATGGAGATGGTGGTAACAATGGAGGCGGTGATGGAGGTGGTAATGGAGGTGGTGATGGAGATGGTGGTAACAATGGAGGTGGTGATGGAGGCGGTAATGGAGGCGGTAATGGGGATGGTGGTAACAATGGAGGCGGTGATGGAGGAGGTAATGGAGGCGGAAATGGAGGTGGTGATGGGGATGGTGGTAACAATGGAGGCGGTGATGGAGGCGGTAATGGAGGCGGAAATGGAGGTGGTGATGGGGATGGTGGTAACAATGGAGGCGGTAATGGGGATGGTGGTAACAATGGCGGCGGTGATGGAGGCGGTAATGGAGCCGGTAATGGGGATGGTGGTGACAATGGAGGCGGTGATGGAGGTGGTAATGGAGGTGGTAATGGAGGTGGTAATAAAGGAGATAATAATAACACTGGCAATAGAACGCTTCCGGAGCGAAGATAAATCAGTGTCAATCCAAAACTACTTAAGTGACAATGAAAGTGACGAAAGTAGTGTTATCTTAAGGATTAAAATGTGATTGTTGTGATGGTTTCTTTAATAAACATAATATGTACAAACCTTTTATATTGGTAACTAATGTAGTTTTTTATTGAATTTCTGCACACACACTTATCCCTTTCGATGCCTTCTTCACCTTATTCTTGCATTCTGCTCTGTTTCACAAACGCACCAACATTTTCATTGGTGACTTAGTTTTATTTTACGTGTCCATTGCTTAGTCACTGCCAGTAATGTCGTAAAATATTCAAGGCTAAATAAGTTATTATCACAACAGATTACACCTATGTCGGTCCCGAAATAATCCTCAGAAATATGTTTGATGTTGATAATTATAATTTCAAAGGTTGAAAGACTTAACTAAAACAGTGACCACCAAATTTCAAGGTAATTGTTTTCTAGAAGGACCTGTTATGTCTTCATAAAGTGTTATTATTAAAGCCATTTTAAGAATCAGTTCATATATTTAAAATGAATTTTGTTGCATAAAGTCGATTTGCTATTTAAAATAAGCGGAAACGTATCAGCTCTATTCAGTTAGCGAAGAGAACGCCCCCTAGCGGGAAGTCATTGCATTAGAATATAAATTGAACTCTTTATACAAACACTCATAATTTGCATTTAAGGCGCAATTCACATCGGCTTCTTTAAAGTAATATTAACGAAACATAGCCCATATTCACATTGATCTTAAAATGGTAACTAAACGTGAAAAATAGTTGAATAATAAATATCTATTAACAATAATATATATCCTATAATATATAATATATATAAATAATATATATATATATATATATATATATATATATATATATATAATATATATATAATATAATAATATTGATCCTACTGAGTATCACCAGCCCTATATGGATAAGTGTAGGAATATATCCACACTTGAAAAACGAAACTGATTCTGTCGTTTGTTGTGATTGGTCTAAATCCTTTTGACATAACTTGATAATCAACTGATAAGTAAACATCTTGTCCATTGTTAACCCATTTGTCTTATGTTTAATCTAAACTTAACAATTTATTTAAAGTGTATCAAAGAAAACAAAAATTCTTAACATGGCTTGGGAGAGTGTACTAATACGTTATAAATATTCATAGTTATAAGTAGCTCGCGTATCGAACGTTTAGACTTAGCCAATATTCCTTGATCCCCAGGAAGGCTTTCAAAGCGTTCCATTACGTTCGAATTATAAAGGAATTGGGGGATGGGGGAGTTTATGTTATAATGGTATAGGTGCAGTTTGGGGGACTCGATACATATTAGAGATTTCAATGCTGTATTTCCTTCGGGAATGCCGTGGTATTGGGGGCGTAAGCGATTGTTTTGAGGGTGCGAGCGTGTCTGCAACTGTCAACTACTATAAATATTCTATGTGTACACAGAATTAGATTTTCTATTCAAAGAGTTTACGGTTTTGAGGAAGACAGCTGCAGTCGATAGCGTAATATGTTTTAGATGAAATACTAATTCCAGATTGTATTTTAACAATAGTTTAATACAATATTATGTGTATCAACTTCTCAGCTACATATTATAATCATAAAATCACTTATCAAACGTTAGATCTTCTATGCCTATAACTCTAAAGAATTATTTAAAACGCTTTACTAGTTAATCCATATAAGGTACTTCTATTAAGTTATGTTTTTTTTATATAACAGGAGGCAAACGAGTAGGTGGATCACCTAATGTAAAGTGATACCGCCCGCCCATGGACACTCACATTGCCAGGAGGCTCGCAAGTACGTTGCGGGCCTTTTAAGAAATGGTACGCTCTTTTCTTGAAGGACCCTAAGTCGAATTGGTTCGGAAATACTTCTGTAAAAATAGTCTGTAAAAATTGCGTTAAGAAACGCTCAGTTGTGGAACGGCGGACGTCGAGGTGATACGGATGGTATTTTATTATTCTGCCTTGACGTCTGATGATGAAACTAAGCTATTAGTCCGAACCACTTCTCTGAACATTCTCCATGGTAGATAAATGCGATAAGCTATGGTACGGTTATTATTATTATATTTTTTTAGATTTAAGTTTAGCTTTGTTTTAGTTATATTTCTAGTGTTACATGTAGTTGTATGTTTTTTTTGTTAATTATTTTTGCACTTCCGTACTAAGATGAAGAAACTGATTGTAAGCGATAAGGCCGCCTGTTGCCTAACAACTTGTGTAACCTGTTTTGTATGTTTAAGGTAACTGAATTTAAATAAATACTTATCTCAACGACCACAAATAATTATAAAAGCTTATCAGTTTGAGTGCACTTTTAACTAAAGTACTGTTTCGTCTCTTTCTGTCAATTTGCGCTTTATTTGTTATTAATAGAGATAGATTAGTGCTTTAATTAAACGGTGCAAACTGATTAAAGTGTTTATCTATAAATATGAATATATAGATAACAGATATCAGCATCATTTAACATACTCGTATCTATAAATTTATTTATCTTTAATTGTTTAAATCAACATATTTTATATTAACTTTACTTTTTTATATATTCAAGCTTTCTTCGCCCCTTTGATTGGATCATTACTTAGCGAAAAACTAAGTGGAAGATCCACTCAGTTTCACCAGGATGTGATCTCATTTGCGCTTGAAATGAGATGACGGTTTGGTCCAAAGTAAGACTCACTTCTAAATTGGCTACATTTACTAAGCAGTTTGAGCCTGTTTCTTTTAAAAATTCAATTTTAGAATTATTATACTGAAATTTGATGTGGATTCGCAATCCACCGGACCCAAATTCTATATAGGGTTTATTTTTTTTGCTTATGAAAAAAGTAGATTACAGAATCTTTTTTGTTCAATATAAAATACAAACTGCGATACTCAGAATCTTTCACTATCTTTATCAGTTATATAATATGAATTTAAAGAACTTAGCTACCAAATTTGATAACCACTTATTTAAGGTAAGTTAGTAAAATACTTTTTTGGTGTAAGAAATTATCAGTATTGTTACTAAAAAATGAATTTAAAATTATATTGGCAGATATTTACCGTAATTCCACATGTTAATATTTTATGCAAAAAAGAATTAAATAAAAGTTAGAAAATACAAATTCAAACGCTAGGCTTGGTATTATAAACAATGATATTTTAAACGTTAATGATGTTTATTTACGTAATAGCAAACACAGAGACCGAGCTTACAAAGCTCCACGTGAAATACATGTAACGAAAGCTCCTGAAACTTGTTTTGACATAATAGCTAGAAGTTCGGCAGTTAGCGCGCCTAGACATTTTGAGTGTGGTCTAAGGTGTAATTTGAAGTTTGTCATAGAATCTCAAGAGAAGAAACTGTTATATGGTACATTAATAAATTTACTGTGCGCATTACACGATTATAATAACTTCGAATTGAATTGCATTATGTAGGAAATAATTAAAGAAAAATAAAGTTGTCCAAATTACAAATGAGCGCAACTAGGCAATATACAAGTCCCGAAAATATTAAAACCTAAATAACCTAAAAACCTTAAAGTTAACGATTAGGCTTACTATAAAGTTAACGATTATCTAGTTGATAAAAGGGTCTGGGACTAGTGCTAGACAGGCTACTTCTAATTAATTTGCGATATTTGTTTTAAACTAAGTGTTGTTTGATGATTTGCTATTTTAAGAGAGTACCGAGAGTTTTTTTACGCCGGCTTTTTCTCTCGGCCTACACCCTCTGTCTTCTTTGCCGATGAGTAGGGTTGCCTGCAGTTTCAAATTTAATGATATGGAATAAGTGATACCTGTATCTTATGTTCCATAATAAACATATTTAATAAATTAATATTGAATAACATACAACGGCGCATAAAACGTCACAGACTTAAAAGAGTGAAATAAAATATATATATTTCTTCTTTATTATCCTTTTATAATTTTAAAATATATCGTGTGAATATTTCTCCACGCGACATAACCTCTATATATAAATCAAGTAAGAACATAGTCAACCATAAATATTTTATTGATTCCAATAAAATTATTTTTTCTAGTTAATCTATAATAAACTCTTATGACTTAAGGAAGAAAATTGGGCTTCACCTGGGCCGTTTGGTGGATATAACGGGTACTCCCCTCTTAGTATGGTCCTGCCTAATGACCAAAGTTTTCCTAACTTCACATGCGTAATTACCCTAACATTTATGATACAATATTGTTATGTGAGGTACGTGAGTGTATTAGTGGTTATCGATTTGTTTTGTTAAATGTAAAGAAACCATTAACCTGTTTATATTGTTAACTATTGTATATTTTATTTGCATGAATGCATGTATGCTAGCCTTTATTTAAGCGTGCAGCTCTCACCCCGTGTTTTATCTATTGGTTTTTTTTAGATGCATTTGAAACGTGAAAAAATATAGTAACACAAAATCATTTATTTTATACCAAATAGTAGCTAAAATGTACAATGTGTTAAAGTACTTGTACCAGGAGACCCAGTTCTTCCGTAACTTATATGGTAATAAATAAATAAAAAGTGTATTGTGCGAATGGTGTGTATGTAATTTAATGTTTTAGACTATCAGCCATTAAGCCTCAGTAACTCAAGTGTTTTAGCCATTGGTTTGGTGACTTAGTGATTCATCTATGTCGACTAAAGACCAGAGTCTCAACAAAGAAGAAATCGGTTGAGACTCTGGTATTTCCGATTTTCCATAATAACGCTGAAGCCTGGACAAAACGGACATCTGAAAGGAGAAATTAGATGCTCTGGAAACGTGGTGTTGGAGGCGGATGTTAAGGATTTCCTGGACAGCTAAGAAACTTTGCTACAACGCATCCTGAGTTTTTGAAGTGAAAACTTCTTTAGCGGCGTTGTGCACTTTTTTCGGAATGGGTAAAAAATGTTTAACTAGCGTCAGGACACGTGACCTGGTCGAAGATTCGTAAGACGGATGGAGAGTAGACAGCTGGCAAGGCGTATTTAAT